TAATTGTAAAGTTGCAATAGGCTACAATTAATTTAATTTCTATGTATTTTAAAGATTGTTAATGTAATGATGATAAAACTAATGTTTAATAAATGTCTTGCATTTAATGCCTATTTGCGATTTAAAATATATATATATATATATATTAAATTTTTTCAAGTATTTTTGTTCAACACTATATATATGTAATTTTTAATTATTATTATTATAAATAATAATTTAACCTCAAAATCAGATCTAAAATATTAATATAAAGTACCGTATATCAAGATGGCGACGAGGGTTGCAAAGGAATATACCAGGAACTTGTGTATCACTGATTATCAGAAAAAGAGATTTCATGCGATAGATCAGTAGTGATAAATTTACATATAATTGACTAGGCAATAAACATTCCATTATCTACTGGAAAAACTATGTCTGATAATGTTGCTCACGCTCTTAGTGGTAATAATTCGATCCTCATTCTCTTTGGCTTAAAAAATGTAAACTCAAATGCTTGTCTTTAGGTGCCGGAGGTGGTATCATTTCTATGGTCCTGACGTATCCCTTAATAACTGTTAGCTCCAGACTCCAAGTTCAGAAGGATAATAAAAGCGCTGATGCATATAAGGTGATTTTTAAAACATAATTCGAAGAACGTACTCATTTTCTTTTATGGTTAAAACATGCATTTACAAGTTTCCGGTATGTAGGGTGGAAGAGATGCGATCGGGAAGATCGTAAGAAAGGAAGGAATTGGTGGGTTATACTCGTAAGAATTAAATTTGTATTCTACAAATATTTGTTTTTACCCGAATTTCTAAAGAATCTAACGATTATATTCAAATTTAAACCAGTGGGTTAAGTTCAGCTATTTTTGGCATTGCCGTATCGAATGGTAAGTGATTATGGTTGATCTTGGTTATTTAATTCAATGCAGTACTTACTGTAATTGAATCGAATTTAGGCGTCTATTACTATTTCTATGAATGGACCAAGGCATTTTTCGAGAAATCAACACCAGGGCAACCAATATCAGTCAAGCGGTCTATGATAGCTGGTGCAATCGCAGGTGCAGCTACTGTACTAATTACCAACCCTATTTGGGTAGTCAATGTAAGATGATGATTTAAGTTCTCACGTGAAAATTAAATCGAAAATTTATTAATCCAGCCTAAAATATAGACTCGCATGACAACGCGTAAAGATTCATTAAACGATGAAAGTACTAGTGAATCCGGTGAAAATGTAAAGCAAACGAAATTAAGGACGATTGATACTGTCCTGAAAATTATCAAAGAAGATGGGATCGCATCCTTCTGGCAAGGCGTTATCCCAGCCTTGGTGCTGGTAGCAAACCCTATAATCCAATACACTGTCTTTGAACAAATGAAGGCAGAAATAGAAAAAAAGAAAAGAAAATTAGGAAATATTCATTTCTTTTTATTGGGTGCGATCAGTAAACTTGTTGCTACGGGATCAACTTATCCTTACATGTAAGTTAAACTCTTTTTCAATTAAGTAACTAGAAAACTTATTCATATAAGAATTGCATTATTCATTATTTCTTTACTTAGTGTGATTAAATCACGTATGCAACTTCGTCAATCATCAAAGGAAAGTGCCCGTTATAAATCGGTGATGGATGGACTACGAAAAATTATTCGTAGCGAAGGAGTCGGTGGTCTCTACAAAGGAATCACCTCGAAATTACTTCAGTCAGTCTTAACTGCAGCATTCTTGTTTATGTATAAGGAGGTTCTGTTTAAGTATAGCGTGGCATTCTTAATGTTGATCGGGGCTAGGCAACGTATAACACAATAGAAACAATAATAGCTTAATGTATTTTTAGACCTTATCACCAAAATTTTTTATATTAAAATAATAAATCATTTTAAATCTGTTATAAGATTATCAACAGAAATAAATGGCAAAGAGCTGTTTACGTGATTTACATACTAATGTTTTATATAGGTCGAGATTATTGCTATTTAAATTTTGTGAAACCATTTTAATTGAAGGAATTATGGACCTTATATGATATTTATTGATTTATTGACAAAATACATTAGAATATAAATAATTTAATACATAATATTCATCAATAAATTTATTATTTCTTTAAAAGCTTCAAATTTTTTATTTGACATCAATTATTTATTTATTCATATTTTTTACGTCATCATAGTTGTATTAATTATTAGTATAACTAGGAAATTAGGAAATGGAAACCATTGTAAGTTTCACCAAGAATCATAAATACTCCATTGTAAGTCCGAAGCTAATATTGTTAATTAAAAAAAAAACAATTGTGTTCAAAACAAATAAATAACGATTACATTAAAGTGACATAATTTTAACCACGCGTATTGTTTTCAGATTAAACGCGTTCCTTCTATATTTAAATTTTATGCACGATCTATGTGATCAATAGATATCATGGGAATTTTTTTTTTCAAAAGATATATAAACACATTGGTTCGTAAAAAATTTTTTCACTCTTTTTCTTAAATACTTTGCAACCTTTCTTAAAACTTCATAACCTTCCTTAAATACCTTGCAACTTTTCTTTAATACTTTACAAACTTAACTTTCTAATAGGTATATGAGATCTTTATAACAATATATAAATAAGTCAACAATATCTTTAATAACACAACAACATGTAGCAAGTTGCCAAAGGTTCTT